CAAAAATTAACTCATAGACATAAGCATCGGGGGTTTCTCCCCAGCTGTCTCTCTCTTCATACCATAAGTTCCACTTATTGGAACTTGGTGCCTTATAATCTTCATCGTCTTCCTCATTTAGGAAGTTATCAACATAGGCATATTTTTCGATTGACTCATCAACATAATCATGTTCTTCGTTTTTCCATTCGATTCTGCTTAGTCGATCTGTCCGATTTTTCTCTGTTAATTTTTTTTTCCAGTTTAAAATCAAAAGTTCAAATGAAGGAAATCCACTTGCTCACTGTTGGATCTTCTTGTTAATGCTTTTTAATAGCACCTATTACAGCAGATGCATCAATCCTCGGGATAAATTTTCTTCCAAGTACATAGTGCCTAAAACACCTACGACAATGAATAATTGTCAGTAGTTTCTTTCTGAATTGTGTGTAGCCTCTCTCTGTAGAGTTTAAAGTTCTACTCTCAAATCTTAGGGGTCTTTCTTTCCCATTAACATCTTTTTGAATGAGTACACCACCAAGATTTACTGGTCCCCCATCTGCCTCGATGATGAAGGGTCTTTCCTCCTACTCATCATAAAAAGACACTCCTAGCACTACCCTCCCATCTTTGAATTTTTCTTGTAAGGTTTCTACAACAATCATTTTTTTCTCAGTCCAAGATAAGTCAGCCCTTTGTCTCACAATCTCTCTTAGAGGTTCTGCAATGGTAGAAAAATGAGGAATAAAAATCTTTCAGAACCCACAAATACCACCCAAGAAACTTCTAGCATCTGTCACTAGCTTGAGAGGCAGAGACCAATTCATAATTTTGTCTATCTTCTTGGAGTCAGGACTCCTACCCTTGGAGAAACATCTAAAGCTCAAGATGGTTACCTCTTCTAGAAAAAGAAGGGACTTTGGTCCACTGACAGTCAGATTATATTTCTGAAGTCTCTCAAGGACCATCTTTACTTCTTCAGCATGTTCCCAGACAAACTTTCTGCCTCCATCAACAACCAAAGTTTCGTTTCTTACTAGAGGTCCTTTCAGAGGATTATCATCAATATAAGGGTTGGTCATCTTGGGTGAGATATCCTGCATGATTTATATCATATCCCTTGGAACCACTACCACACCATTGGTCCAACCCTGAGGTACCACACACATTTGAATGAGGCCCTCAGCGTGTGCATGACAACCATTGATCGGTTAGTGAGATCAATGAGAAACTGATCATAGCCAGAATATAAATCAATTAAAGAATAAATGCATCGACCAACAAAAGATTCAGAAAGGAGATCAGCATTAGGGAGACTACTTGCATCACGTACCGTCACTGAGTTGAGCTACTGAATATTTTGTATCCATCTCAATCCTCCCCCTGGTTTCCAAAAGCAAAACCAGTGGTTAGCATACGGTCCATCAGAAGGTTCAACAATATTAGAGACAATTTTCTTATCAAGATACTTTACCACTTCTGCCTCTTCTTTCAAGGCATACCTGGTTGGTCTGTCATTCCATGTAATATGGATCAACTGTCCAAAATTTTACCATCTTGATCATATCCACGTTCAACCGCCGTGTCTCCTCGTCATTAAAGGAGAATGCTCCAGATAATTCTTGACACACTGTGAAGATATATTTTTTCTCTTTGGGCAAGGTAAATTGATCTGATTCTACCTTCATTGTGTCAAATCTTTCCCTACTAACTATGTTCCCCAATTTTGCAGATTCCCTTGATGTTTTAATAATTCTCCTTTCTTTCTTCAGTGCTTCATCATAATATTTTTCAATTATGACTGCCATTGGGTTCTTTTTCACCCCATTGGGCTTGTATTTTTTTTTTAACCCAGTGACTATTTTCCTAAAAAAGAATGATTTAATACAAACTTTAATTTTATTTTTCAACCCTTAGCAGTCTCAACAAACTTCTTAAATGCTTCAATCTGCCCATTTTCATCTTTGAGCTTGCCAAGGGATTTCATCATCTTTGAGATCTGATTGATATTAACTGAAACTTCCTCTTTGACTTCCTGCTTGTCTTTTCCTTTTACCTTCCTTATCTTCTCAACAGATTCTTCTCTTCTGATTGAGTTAGCTAATACCTTATTCTTATGATGATGAGAAGTACAAACCATAAAAGTCTGTTTTTGTGCACTCTTCGGATCCTGCAAGCCAATCCAGGATGACCCCTCATGACTGAAGAACTGGACAACTTTCATCCTATGTAAGAATGAGCTGCCCATGATACAATCATGGTCTAAATCTGGTACCATAAATCCCAGTTAAACTGACATCATCCCAGCCCTAATGGGCAAAATGTCAATAAACCCTGTCACGAAGAGTTGCCCATCAATATTATTTAACATTTGCTTTGAGGGCCTATTAATGATCAGGTTGCCGGCTTCCATAGCTCTCTTAGTGATAAGTATCATTTCTGCTCCAGAGTTCACTAAGGCTCGGATTTTCATCCGATTAATGTAGATAGTTAAATACCCACAGCCCATGGTTGCGAATCTCATCTTACATCCTGACAAGGTCATGTTGACTTAATTAGGAAAGACTGATCCCAGATAATTAACTTTCATCTTTTTCTTATCAATTAACTTCTTGAGTTCCTCTCTCAACTTTGATGCTAACGTCATTGCATTTTTGAAAGACAAAGTCACTTCCGTTTTTTCTAACATTTTCGTAATTACATCCGTAATTTCAGTTTCATCTTCCAACTCGCTCTTGAGGGTAAATTTTATCGTCTTCCCTTGCTCACTCTTCTTAAATTGAGGGTCCAGTTCATGATCATCAAGAATGTCAATTAGACTCTCTTTGACCTTTTTTTTTTTTTTCCCTCTATCATTTGAGGCGTAAAGCGGTGAAGATTCCTCACTTCTCCAATCACCTCGTTGGGTTCCAGGATGAGTTCCGGTGGTAGATCACCCTCGAAAGACATCATGTTGGCTGAATAGGAGAGCTCGCTAGGTGAAAATGCTACTAACTAATAAGAAGTCTGAGAAGCAGAACTCTCCCCCATCGAGAGCCCGCTCAGCGAAGTCTCATCAGATATGTCTTCTACTAGTGTTAGAGATAGTAGGGACAATCCAGTCAGTAAAAGAGAGTCATCAGTCTTTTGTACAAGCGCTTCAGACAATTCACCAATGAAGAAGTGGACATTCATATTGGTCTTTCACTTGTTCTTTTTCTTCATCTTCTCTTCATGTTTAAGGGTAAGAAGTTTCATACCTCCAGGATGTCTGGGATCCAGTTTGGTCCACGAACTATCACAGACATGACTCATTGCATCATTCTTTGTCACCCCACACTTCACATCCTCCTCCTGAGGTTTACAGTAGGTGGAACTATGACCTCCCTCTCCACAATAATAACAGACAAAACTCTTCCTTGGACGTTCATCATATTTTCTTCTTTCTCTGTTTTTTCCCCCTCAATTCCCTCTGTTTTTTCTTAACCTGGAGGAATCTCCTCTTTTACCATAATCATCATCATCATCATCTTCATCTTCGCTTTCAACCTTCTTCTTCCCTTTTTCATCAGCAACATGGTTAGTAGGCATGTAATTGACCATAACTCGTTGAATAAAATTTTCAACACACAAATTGTTCCCTCTGCTCATACCATTCTCGGTCTCCTAGTCTTTAGCCAGTGTACTGATCTGATCTAGTGGCCACTTCTTGTGTGAGACTGTAGGCAGAGTTCTGACTGGTGCAACCATTTCATCCCATCTGAGAGGATAGTGCTGAGCTTGATTGAGAACAATTTATCTCTCATTATCTGTAAAATTAGTCACAAAAATATGACATTTTTTAGCCTCATCTAAATATGGGATTCTCTTGGCTGTTCTGATGAAAGTCTGAAGGAAGACATTGAAGGTGTTAGACTTAGCTCTTCTGATGTTGAGTAGGTCCTTGGTAGTAGTTGGGACAGGGTCTTTCTCAAATTCCCTCTTCATTATCTCTTTGACTTCTTCCCATGTTGTAGCCCCTTCCGTCAACCCTTGAACAGTCAACCTCGAGTTAGTGTCACAATAAGACAAAAAGTGCTTGAGTCGCTGTTTATCTGTCCAACCATAACTGAGCCCGAATAATTCATACTCATTCAAGAAATCATTTACTTAAGGACCTCTGAAGCATGAAATTCTCTTATCTAGCCTCTTTGCTCTTGCAATATCTGACCCTACTTTTATTGTGTCAACTCTCTCGACCAGTTCTCATATGACACCAACCAGGGCCTCTTCGTTAGTCCCTGCAGAAGAGTTAGGTCTCCCTCGTCCTGCCATTTTAATCATAAACTTCCCCTAATACTCTTATCTCTCTTTCTGTCACTTTTGTCCTCCCCTTTCTTATTTTTCAGTCGCTTACTCTTCTTGCAAAAGATACAAGTTTGTTTCTCTCTTCTCTTGTTTGCTCTACCCCTTGAGAGTTTTGTACATAAAGAGTGTAGACAATAATAGACTGGGAGGTGATCAAAGGCAACGTTGTCGAGCGCATCGGTCCGGCATCGCACAAGGCAGCGCGGGACCCTCCCGGCCGCGTCACGTAGGAGTTCGTCTATATCCTCGTCGCGAATATACGTAGAGCTTCCGCAAGCTGTTCCGGCCGAGTGCGCCAGCCATACCTCCCGCGAGCCCCTACGAAAGGATAGGGCCTACGCGAGGCACGACTTACCGCCACCTTACGGGAGTTGTCACCTCCCTTCGGTGGGCATATACACGTCGAGCTACCAGTCCACAGTACGAAAGCTGATCAATTGCAATCGCAGACTCGGAGGTGGACCGGCCGATGACGTTTCTCGTTCACTGTAGCATAGGGGGTACGCGCCCTTTTTTCCTTGATTACCCGGAGGACTTCTTCCTCCTTTTCCATGACCTCCTCCTTAGCCATTTCCAGCAGGATGGAGACTCGCTTCGCCTTCTTTCCTACTGGTTTATATTTGCGAACGTTTCCTTCCGAGATCTTTCTTCTAAAAAATGAACCGTCGGGGTTGCTTGTGCTACTTTCACAATTCGAGGTTGGATGCTAACTAACTCGGCGTTCAGGCAATAACCCTTCCGAACTTCCTCCTCACACCTGGCGAGAGCGGCGGGTCAACTTCTACCTTGTGATACCTGATTGCCTTGATTAGGTGGAGAAGATCCGGGATCTTTAGCGTTATCCTGGTGCCTTCGCCTCCGGCGTCTCCGCGCTTTGGCAGGCTCGCTCCCAGTTCCACCTCTGTTTCCTTTTCCACTACCATGACTTCTAGGACATCTTCATCCAGCCTCCGCTTTTTCTGTGGAAGTCCCATCTTGACCCACTCCTTCTTGCTGAACGCCTCTTCTATCATTATTTCCACCCTCTCTCTCATTCCTTCCATTCGTGCGAAAACCCCCTTTCTAGCGCTCTCCTCGAAGGAAGGCGACCAGGTTGCCAAATTCCCTTTGGGCGTGTCTCCCCCAGTTCCGATGAGGCGGAGCAGCTCGCCGCGTCCTGTAACTGGGTCCTCTATGTCTACCATGTATGCCCCGTCATGGAGATGCATGCCTATCATTTCCACATTTGCACACCACGATCTCCCAAGGATTATGTCATGGTCCATTTCGTCCATGACGGTCATCCGTTGGAACGACCATATAGACTCCCTGACCCCGGCTTTGACCGCGCACTTGGTGATATACCCGGAGAAAGGGATTTCCCCGCCTGCTCCCCAGACACTCCCGGTAGTTTCCCTGTTTATCGGGCACCTGACGATTATCGCGAAATCCTTTCGTATGAGCGTGATTTCACCCCCCCCGTCCACTGGTGCATCCGTATGGTGGCAACCGATCTGAACCCGTAGCTTGCCTACCGGTAAGGCGTGAAAGCTCAACTTCATACCGGGAGGGACCCTCATGACCTCGCCTCCTTCCCGATCCGGCAGACTTAACCAAATGTCTGCGAAGGTCTTTTCCAAGTCCTCTAAGTCGCCGGGAATTCTTTGGACATTTGCAACTTTTTGCGGTGTCTGCCTCGGTTCCTCCTCTACGTCGACCCTTTGCCTTGTTAACAGGTGCCTAAGTCCCTTCAGAAGTCTAGGGCTGGCCTGCAACATCGTTTGGAATGATACTGATACTATGGTCCCTAGCAGTTTACTAAGGGTGTCATTGATCTCTGGCGTGGCGAGGATGGGTATCCGGTATCGAAACTTTTTTTTTCTCGTTGTTGCCTTATCGACGGGGGTCTCATCCTTAGGTTTCCTATAGGATCTGTCATGGTCTAACTCTGTTACTCCTGGTGACATACTTGGTCCTTCCTGCGTATCCTCCATGATCGCATCCTGCACGACCTTTTTTGCGGCGTTCCGCTGCCTAGTAGTCACGTTAACCCTATCCCGTTCATCGCTTTCCATAATGAAATTGGCATGGGCCCCTCGTCCCTGCGCCTGCCCCCACGTGAGTTCCGGCACAGGCTCAACTTCTACTACAGCGGCGTCTAGGTTGTTGAATGCAATCACGGCCCGACGCATCCCTCCTGGTGAATTTCAATTTATTCTCTCCCCCCGAGGTCCTAAAATCTCTCCGCGCACGGTCCTGGAGCACCGCTTAAGCATGATATCATGGTTGAGTCTCGGACACATCCGTACGAAGTGTCCGATCAACGTGCAATATTTGCACTGTTCGTTGGTCGGGTCCCTTCGATTATTCCCACGGTTGGTTATACCTGCGGGGGCGATTGCTTCCTGAGGCGGGAGAGGAGACCGTACTGCCTGGCTCTGCGAAACCTGGACCTGCATAACCAACAGGGCGTTCTCTACTCTCTCGATTTTTCCATCTACCCCATGAACGCGCTCATGCATGCTTTCGATTCCTCTCTTTACCTTATCGCCCGTCTTGTTTGTTAGGTCTATGACCTCTCCTTCTTTTAACAGGGCCAATGAGTCAGTTACGACCATTTTTTCGGCAATGTCGGTTATTGTGCTGAAGTCAACATCCCTGGTGTTCAGGAATTTTGGGGTTTGCTGATATGCTGACAAGATTTTATCCTTATCGAACTCTGTGAACTGTCTTAGGAAGTACTTGCTCATTATTCCATCAGTAACCCCGGGGACGCGCAATGCTACGAGAGTAAATTCTATCAGGAAGTCATTGTACGTTGCAAAGTCCTTTCGTTGCACAGTGGCCAGTTCTGCTTCCGTGGCCATCTTCTAGGCTGCCAGGTATTTTCTCATCATCATGTCCCGAGCCTCCTTCCACGATCCGCTCGTGGCGACAATCGTCATTATGTCTCTCCCTAGGTTCAACGACACGTTCTGCCCCAGGTGCTCCATCTTCTCTTCCTCGCTCCACCTCAGGGGTGCCACCAGGTTCTCGTAATCTATTAGGAACTTAGTGATATTTGCTCCGTCAAAGGTCAGTTTCTTCTTAGCGTCGGCCAAGTGTCCTTGATTTTTGCTTAGCGCGCGGGTGAGGGATGACACAACTTTCCTAAGCCCTCCTTCAACCATTCCTGACCTTGCCGCCGATCCGGCCCCCGAATCTTCCTGGCTTGTGTGTGGTCTTCCTCTCGTCCTCGCTGTCCCCTCCGGATCAAACCACCCCAGCACCCTCTCCCTCAGACTCCACAGTCCCTCGCGCCCCCTGGCGATTACTGAGGACACCGAAGGTCGGCTGGCTCCACTATCCAAGAGAGGCGGGTTGGTAGGTCTCTCTATGACCCTTCCAGGAGAGTCCGCTTTTTCCTTCTCTTTCCTTGTTGGGGTCCCCCAGGGATCCTTGGTCCGGTCCTTCCTCTGCTGTACGTCCGCGTCCTGACCCCCTTTCCCTTGACTTGCCTCCTCTTCCTCTCGTATCCTTCCGTCCGCCGAGTTCCTCTCGCTCTCGTTCATTATTTCTTCCAGTAATTTTGCCCTAAATTTTGTCGTCCTCTTTTCCACTTCTACCAGCCTCTTCCGCGTATCTGTCAGTCTTACCTTCTTATGTTCCGCGCCTTCCAAGTGCTGGCGTGTTGGGCTGCCTTTGTCCCTAACCTTCTTAGCCTCCTGGGTTCCACGCTTGCTTCCTCCACCCTTCCCTTAGCTTCCACCAAGGACGGTCTCCTTACTCCCTTCCCTAGCCCCTGGCGACTTTGCTGACTCCAGGTCGCCTAAGGCGTCCTCTTCTCGCTCTACATCTCCGTCTATACCCAAGTTCTCGTCGTCCTGTTGACTCCCGGCACCCTCGCCTGTCGTCATTTCTTTCTTTCTATAGCCCTGTATATGGAAAAAACATTTTTCGGCACGACAGGTAGGTCTCAGCCCTCAAGGTTCCTTGGGCCCCCAGATTCTTTCTTACCCACAATCTCCCCCTTTTCCTCCTGCCACATCATTTTTATGATTTCCTCATTTACTATGAAACCCCACATATTCCTTCATACCGATTCTAATGGCCCTGCCTAGTGTTCTCGATCTGCCTCTCCCCTGTTTCGAGGGCGGCGCCCTCAAGGTGGGTAGACTTTCCCACCCCTTTGGTCGGTCTTCCTCCCTTTTTGTTTTTTTGTTCACCCCCGACATTTTCTTCGCCCCTTTTTGGTCACCGCGTCCATCCTTATCCTTCCTACCGCCCCCCCGGTCGAGAAAGAACTCTGGCCGCTGCCTTTTTGCCGGCTTCTTAGCCTTATCTATGTCGTTTCTTTCGAAAAGCCCTTATCCCTAAGGCCTTCCTCGACGTTTTGCTCACACCGGCTCCTCAGGTCCGTTCCCTTCGTCTGACTCTTCGAACATCCTTGCCACTCCCGCAAGGTTGTTCTCCCCCATCTCAATTTCCCTAACGATTATTGGCTCAAATTCCTCGAAGGATAGGTGGGGCGTCCCAAATATTAAAATCTCGATGAGCTCAAGCAGTTCACTCGCCCGGTTTCCCCAAAACGGCCCGTACCTTACCGCCACGTCGTAAAACATCCCGGTCGTTTGCAGTTTGAAGTGGTGGTTTCAGACTATGGCCGAACTCACCAATTCCCTTGCTCGAGAGAGGCTTCCAAATATCAGGTCTATCATGAACCGGGGCACCCGACAGCGCAGGCCGGATGTCGGAGCCCTGAATTCTCGCCATCCCCCTACTCCTACCCGCGTCCTTAAGCCCACGTTCCTTCTCCCCCTAACTTCGTGTCCTATCCGGCTTAGTGCCCTGGCCGCTCTCCGAAAAACCGGTAGCAGCCCATGCCCCAGGGCCAATTCCGTTCCCAACATCTGCCACCCGGTCTTGGGGAAGTACAAAGTCCCGGTCACCCTGAGGTCGGTATACAGGTTGTCCCCTGGCCCCCTATTAAATCTCATCCCACTCCATAGGCATTCCACCATCATGAAGGCCTGGTTTTGCCCCAAGATCACTGCTCCCCATTCCACATCTATTCCATGGACCTCGTAGCTCGCGGCCGCGGGTGCGCGGGTCGCTGCGCCGTACGAACGCGTCTCCTTGCCATTGCCCTGCAAGTTTCCTACACAGAAAAATAAGAATTTTTTTTTTCCCTTTTTGAAGTTTTTGTTCTTTTCCATATCCTCCCCTCCCCCGTTATCACAACCATATTCTAGCTTGCTACCAATCCCCTCCTATCTTCCCTACCTCCTTCCCTGTGCTCCTATTCGTCCGCCTCCTCGAATAGTCTGTGGACATCGTCCACATAGGTCAAGCCGCAACCTGTCTCGCGCCTGACCACCCCCCACATAACTTCCTCAGCTATTGCGGGCACTCCTGGCCTGGTTGTTATGACAACATGCAGAATTCCCAACACCTCGTATTCCTGGTCTCCTTCAAAGGGGCCCGACTCTAAGAAGGATCGGTAATATCCTTGGCACACCGTCATGTCACTAAAACTTAGCCTACTCAAAGTTGCCACCGCCTGCTCCACACGCTCCGCTCCCCCCAAGCGGCCGAGTAGGAAGGGCGGCAAACTCATACGCACGTTTTCGTGGGGCAAGATGCAGGCCCCCACTTCGAGCACTCGAACGGCTGCCGTCACATCGTCCCGTTCCGGATCTCCGAACGCGAATCCTCCCTTCAAGTTACTTGCCACGCCCCGTCAAACATCCGCACGGGGTCCCCGCCGGCGGCCAAAGTCACCCCGAAGGTCCTCCACCCCTCTTCGCATAGGTACAGGGACCCCGTGGCGTGCACACGCCCCGGCAGATCTGGGCTCACTCCCCCGAACTCCCCCCTTGCACGCCATTCTAGTTCCACCACTAGATAGACTGTATCCTCTACTAGATCTACCCCCACCCAATCCATCACCGGGTTGTGCACCCCACCCCTGGTCGGCATGGTAACTTCCACCCTTCCTTCCGAGATCCGGGGCGGCCGAATTACGCAGGGTCGGTCCTCCCAGAGCGTCCGTCGCCTGGCCATGTCGCGTCGCTTCCAGCTCCTTGTCCCTGGCTGCTGCATCCAACATGATTCCACGTTCCCCCTTTTTGTTGTAGAACCCCCTCCCCGCCTTCCTAATCGTGCTTGTTCTACCCTTCTTCCCAACGTGCGCACGCCCCATTTTAAGATGCCCCCCCTTTACCCAGACCTTCTAGTTCACACTTATACCCAACCTGGCTCAAACAGTAGCAAAACATCCCCTACGTAGGAGGGTGCCGCGGCCACCTCTCGGCGGAGTATCGCCTCCTCGACCTCATCTCCTACCTTGAGCCGGTCGCCCCTAAGGGCATTCAGGATCTCAACTACTTCATTGGCGCGGTCCCCGTGGAAGTGCCTTAGTCGTAACGAGGCCTCACAATAGGCGTCTGCCAACCAGGTGAATCCCAGCTCCACTTCGTCCAAAGATTCTGCGACCGCGCGGATATGTTCATAACCCCGGAACCAATTTGCTATGAAATGCGGCACCTTCGTCTGAACCAGCTGATATGGGCGTCTAAGATCTTCCCATCCTCCCATCACGACCATGCTCCTCGCCTCATCCCATCCTTCGTTTGCAAATTCCCAACCCATTTCCCAGGTCAGTCGCTCGGCGTTCCCTAAGATCCACGTCGGGTCCCATCCCGCGGCCAGGTATACACAAAATAGGTGTCACCCCTCCCTAGACAGGTACACAGTTCCAAGTGACTCCACGTCCCCCTCAGCTATCTCGTCCCACGCCTCATTTTCCCTGATCGGATTCCACACCCTTTCTACCCATAAAAAGGACAGGGCGGTTTCGATTTCTACCCCTACCCAGTCACAGACCGTCCCTCTCCATTCGTTTCTCGTGGGTAGGACCATCTCCACCCCTCCCCCGAGCCGCCTAGGTGTCCATCCTCTAAACATCCGTTCCCTCATGCTTTGCTCCCTTGCCATCCTCGAACCCCTGCACAGTCCCAATCCACCCACGCCATACAGCCTCAGCCCCCTTTCTTTTAGAAATCCCAATCCTCAATCTCTATCTCCTCCTCCTCATCCGAGTCATCTTTGTTCTCCTCATACCACAGGTCCTGTACCCCTTCCAGAAACGTCTCCCCTATCGCGACATTCCTATATACTATCTTCCAATGCACGTCACTCAGGACGAACAGGCCGTCCGTGCTAAGATGGTTCAGTATCGTGGCTAGCTCCCTTGCCTAGTTCTCTTCAAACGGCCTCATTTCGACTGACAAGCGGGAAAAGTCCTGACGGGCCCCTTGGTACAGTCCCAGGTTGGTCATGGATCTGCATATCTGCACCAGCCTGCTCCGGGTGCCGAAGCCGGCGTCTACGATGAAGGGCGCCATGACACACCTCAGGGTTGTAAAGGGCTTCCGTACATTCCCTCTATCCCCAAGTTCCACCCGCACGTCAATCTTTTCCATCACCATTTCCACCCGTTGGCATGCAGCCCACACCACTTCCCGCTCGGCCTCCTTGAACAACTTGTATGGGAGTACTCCTAAGGCAAGCTCTATAATCATGACATTTTCCCTTTCCTTAGACAGGTAGACCCATCCCCGGGCCTCCACGGTTCCCCAAAATTCTAAGTCGAGCAGGCTTGGTGCTAACCTTGTCAAACTAACCTTGGTCCACATTGTTTCGATCCATAGGAAGGCATCACTTTCAACCAGAATCACAATTTGGCTGTGTATCTTTTGAACGGAGAACGGGCGAAATTCAACGCCCGTTCATCCGTTTAACGGGCCCCTGGACCCCCGTTAAATCCCGTTTAACGCAAAAACGGGGGCTTCGCGTTGAATTCTGAAAAACAGAATTCGAGCGTTGGGCCTCGGACATGTGTGCCTACGTGCCCGAACACTCAAACCAGAAAAAAAAAAAAAAATTCACCCCCCATTGA